AAAATATTAATTAAAAATATCAATAAACTACATGCTATTAAAATCATTTTTGTCATTAAACTGAAAAATCATATTTCCAATAAAAATATTTCTGAAACAGAAATATTAGTGCAGAGTGGTAGCGTTTCATGTTTTTACAAATCTCTTCACTGTCTGACTGTATGAGTTCGCAAGGAGTACCATAACAAAATACCACAGGTTTGAACAGCAGAATTTTTTCCTCACAGTTCTGGAGGCCAGCAGTTCCGGATCGCAAAGCCTGCAGGGCTGATCTCTGCTGAGCCCACTCTCCTTGGCTTGCTGATAGCCACTCTCTTGCTGCCTCCTCACAGGGCATCCAAACTTCCTCTTTTGACAAAAACACCAGTCCAATCAGATTAGGGCCTACCCTAACGGCCTCATTTTAACTTGTTACCTCTTTAATGTCTCTATTTCCAAATACAGTCACATTCTAGGGTACTGGGAGTTATGGTTTCAACATATGAATTTGGGCAGGGACACAATTCAGTTGATAATAAGGGATAAATACGAGATGGCTGAATTCTTAGATCTCCTTCTACATTAAATCTTTTGCAATATCACATGTCATTAAGTTTCTGAAAAACTTCAATATATACTGAGAAAAATGAGAGTGTAAAAGGTAAATAATATCAGAATTATTGTGAAAATTAGAGAACCATTGCTCTAGGATAATCAACAAAATAACGTGTAATTAAACTGAATAGGGTAGAAAATGAGATAATGAAAAATACCTGATTAATCCAAAGAGAAACAAGAAAGGAGAAATAAAAGAACAGATAAAACAAATAGAAATAAATGAGATTACCCAAATATATTAGTAATCACATTAAATGTAAATGGACTAAATACTCTAATACAAATGTCATCTGACTAGATAAAAACAAGACCAAATATATACTGCTTACAAGCGATACATTTTAAATATAAGAACACAGATAAGTTGAAAGTAAAAGAATGGAAAAAAGATAGACCATGAGTATAGCAAACAGTAGCTTAAAACAACTATTTATTAGCTTACTGTTCATCAGAAGTCTAAGCATGGCATGGCTGGATTCTCTGCTTTGGTTTCACAGACTGAAATCAAGAAGTCCCTCTTTCCTTGTTGGCTGTCAGCCACAAACTACTCTCAGTTCCTAAAGAATGCCTGCATTCCTTGTCACATAGCCTCTATCTCAAAGCCAGTGATGAAGAATGTCACTCACACTGAATCCCCCTGATATGTTAAATCTCTTTCACCAAGAAGAACCCCATATACTTTTTACAGTCTCACCTGATTAGAACAGGCCAACTGAGGGTAATTTTCTTATCTTTTGATTTAGCCAATTTGAAGTCTTAATTACATCTGCAAAACCCTTTCACACAAGCACCAGATTAGTATTTGAATAACAGGAGCTGCTTGTATACCAGGGAATAGGATCCTAGAGACCATTTTAGAATTCTTCCTTTCACACAAGCACCAGATTAGTATTTGAATAACAGGAGCTGCTTGTATACCAGGGAATAGGATCCTAGAGACCATTTTAGAATTCTGCTTATCATGTCATGCACACACTTAACCAAAAGAAAAAACACTTTTTTTTTGCCATATTAATATCATAAAAAGTAGAATTTACAGCAAAAACATTATTAGAGGTAAAGAAGGGTACTTAATATTGATAAGATGGTCAATTCAACAAGAAGATATAACAATCCTAAGTTTATATGCACTGAATAACAGAGCTGCAAAATATATAAATCAAACATGGATAGAAATAAAAGAAAAACATAAATCCACAATCATAGCTGGAAATTTGAAGACACCACTCTTAGTAGCTGATAAAACAAGCAAAAAAAATAAGTCAGTCAGAATATAGAAGATATGAGGAACATCATTAACAAACCTGATTTAATTAATATTTATAGAACATTACATCTAACTGCAGAAATTTCAAGTGAAAATCCAATTTCTATGTAATTTTCATGTGAACATGGAATTATTTACTGAAATAAATCACAGTAAAGTAAGTAACAAGTTTCTAATATTGAAATAATCAGTGTGGTCTTTGACCATAGTGGAATTGAACTAGAAATCTGTAATGAATAAAAATCCACAAATTCTTTAAAATTAAGCAACACACTTATAAATAACCCAAGGGCCAAGGTAGAATATGAATCTTAGAAAATATTTTAATTGGATGATAAAAATACAACATATCAAAATCTGTAAACAGAATAATTAACCCCCCCCCAAATCATAAGCCTATACATAAAATCTAAAATTATACTTTTAGAAGAAAACAGGAAAAAAAAAACCCTGAGCACCTTAGAGTAAGTAAAAATTAGGACACAAAAAGGATGACCCATGAAAAAGAAATGTTAATGTCTGCTCTTTAAAGATAACACTAAGAAGAGTTAAAAGGAAAGCCAAAGACAGGGAAAATTATTTCTACATGTTTATCTGACCAAGGTTTTATAGCTAGTCTATATAATAATAATAATAATGTTATTACTACAACACAATGGGCAAAAAATTTAAACAGATAGTTCACTAAGGAGAGAGATAAATGGCCATTAAACACATGAAAAATGTTCAACATCATTGTCACAGAAATGCAAACTGATACCACCATGGAGTGGTATTACACACTTTAGAAAATCTAAAATTAAAGATTGACAATACCATGAGGTGGCAAGGCTAGGAGTAACTGGAACCCTCACACATTGTTGATGGATTGCAAAATGCTACACAATTGTAGCAAAATACTACAGTTTCTTATAAAGTTATACATGCATTTACCATATTACTCAGCAATTCCAAACCTACGTTTTCATATAATATGAAGGAAAATATATCTATACAAAAACTATACATGAGTGTTCACAGCAGATTTATTCATAATAGCTCCCAAATGTAAATAATCCAAACGTCTATCAATGGGTGAAAAAATAAATTGTGGTATACTAACACAATGGGATTCCACCCATCAAAAAAAGGAAACAAAGTATTGACACACAAAACATGGATCGCAAAACTTAAAGATGAGTGAAAGAAGGTAGATACAGAACAGTATGTATAATATCATTCCACTTATATGAAGCTCTAATATAGTAACAGAAAGCAGATTAGAGGTTTCTTAAAGTCAAAGATGGAGAGAATTGTCTAGGAAGGGATATAGGAAATTTGGGGGGGGGGATGAAAATGTTTTATATCTTGATTTTCGTGGTGGTTCATACCAGTTAGTACACTTGCAAAAACTCACCAAAATGTAAAGATAAATTTAGTGCAACTTATTATATGTTGATTATGTCTCAAAGGTGATAAAACATCTATTAGGTGCAGCTAAATGAGTTCTTAGAAATTTAGAGTGTTAAATACTAATATTAGCAAAGAAGAAAGGTTGAAAAAATTGGTTATCTAAGATTTCATTTAAAGAATATAAAGAACAGTGAATCAAATCAGTAAAGTAGAAGAAAATAAAAGAGCATGAATCAATGAAAACAACTTAGATATATAATAGATAAGAGGTATTTTTTAAGATTAATTAAGTGTTAAATCATTGAAAGCCTAATCAAGAAAATAAAGAGTACACAAATTACAGAAAACAAGACTTAAAAGAGAACATTGCTTGAGATCCTAGAGATATTAAAAACAATAAGCAGATATTATGAATAATTTAAAGCCAATAATTGTGTATTTCAATGAAATAATATGGACAAATTAAAAAAGAAACTAAAATTAACACAAGAGAAAATTTCAGTAGTCCTGTTTATCAAAGTAATTGAATCTACAATTTAAAACTTTCCTACAAGAAAATTTCTGGTTCAGATGGCTTTGTGAGTTTTACAGAAAATACTTATGAAAAAAATAAAACCAACAGCAATAATACACGATTCTACACAAACTCTTCCAGACAAAAAAAGAAAGGAAGTGATTCCTGATTCATTTTATGAACCTAGCATTATCCTGATACTAATCCCTGACAAGGCTATTACAAGAAAAGAAACAAAACAATATGGAAATAGACATAAAATCTTAGATAAAACTTAAACAATTTAATTCAACAATATATTAAAAGGATAATACATCATGAACAAATGGAATCCATTCCAGGAATGCAAGGTTGCCTTAACTTTAAAAAATCAGTCCATACTAATGAACTCTGAGTGCTACTGTGCTAAGTGAAATAAGTCAGTCACAAAGGAACAAATATTTATATGAGGTGTCATTTGAATTCTCAGAGACAGAAAGTAGAATGGTAGTTTCCAGGGGCTGAGGGTAGTGGAGATGGGGAGTTATTGTTAATGGGTATTGAGTTCCAGCTTAGAAAGATGAAGAAAGTTTTGGATATGGATGGTGGTGATGGTTGCATGACAATATGAACCTGCTACCATTGAACTGTATACTTTATAAATGGCTAAGAGTAAAATTTATGTGTGCTTTACCACAATTTTTAAAATAAAAAAATCAATCCATATAATTCAACATTAACAGAATGAGGAAAACCATATGGTCATTTCAATGCAAAATATGTATCTGATGAAATTCAACACTTGTCCATGATAACAAATCTCAGCAAACTAGGATTTGAGAGGAACTTCCTTAATCTGATAAAGCTTATCTACAAACACATTTATACCTCATGTCATACCTAATGGTAATATGGTTAGTGTTTTCTTTTAGATTCTGGGAAAAAGGCAAGGATGTCCACAATCACTTCTAGAGGTCCTAGCTACAACAATAAAGGAAGAAAAAATGGTATAAAGATTGGAAAGGATAAAGTATTTTTTTAACTTTACTGCAGATGGCATATTGTGTATATGGGAAGTCCAAAAGAATGAACAAAGTATTATATTAACAAATGCAAAATATATGGTATATATCCATTAGTATAGATGTTATATAGTATTATTAAATATACATGATATATTACATATTATATATATCTACTTATATATTTAACATATATTAACAAGAATCAGAAAATGAAATAAATGGCATTTATATAACATCAAAACATTAAACACAAAGGACTAATCTAACAAAAATATTCAAAATTTCTACATTGAAAAAATTTAAAAATTGCTGAAGAGGCATACAAACAAAAGGTATAGCATGTTCATGGATTGGATGTCTCAATATTGTTAAGGTATCCATTCATCAAAAATTATCTATATATTTGATGTAATACTAATACCCATTAAAGTCCTAATTTTTTTATGTTGAGCAACTGAAAATTATTCAAAACTTCACATGAAAATGCCAAGAACCTAGAATTGCAGTGACAATTTTAAACAAGAACAAAATTAGAACACATATGCCACCAGATGTGAAGTTACTTATAAATCTGCTTATCCTAAGAACATTTTACGGTAGAACAGTGGAGAAAAATAATCTAGAAATAGACCCCCACCTAATATCATCTGATTTATCATGAGTATCACTGCAAACCAAGGGGGACTTTGAATAAATTGTGTATTTCTATGAGATATACTTCGACCTCTACCCCACACCATAAAAATTGATTTCAGATAGATTGTAATCTAAAAGTGAAAAGTAAAACAGTAGATATGCAGAAAAAATGTAGGAAAATATATTTATGACTGGTTCAGGAAAAGTTTTCTTAAAAGCACTAATCATAAAGGAAAATATTGAATTATTCTTCATCAAAATTCAAAACTTCTGTTCATCAAAGGACATCATTTAGAGAATAAAAAGGCAGACTGCAGGTGGGGAGATATTTGTAATACTATTTAGATATTTTTAATATTTAAAAATACCTTGTATCCAGAATATATAAAGAATCCTATAAATGAACAAAAAGAGTTTACAGTTTAAAAAATAGACAAAAGTCTTGAACAGGCACTTTTCAAAAGAGGCTCTTAAAAAACCAACAAATATCTAAAAGGGGACTCAAAATCATTAGCCATGAAGGAAATGCAAGTTAAGCCTATCAGATACTATGACACACTAGAACCAGACTTTGGTGCCTTACCATTCCATTGAAACCCAGTAAAGGAAGACAGTCATCTCCATTTCCTAACTCAATGGAGACTTTTCAGTAACAGTCAGACATATGTCATTTGAACAGTGCTCTTATTGAAATGCTTGGCTCTAGTGCAGTGAGGTGGAATTTAGGTGTGGGGAGGGTTAGGAGTTAGAAAGCAGCAGCCTATAGAGTTGGCATCAAGTCATGTCAACTATTTGACAGCAGGGTTTCTTAAGGGTGGTATTTCAAGGTCTAATCCTCAAACTTTCCAATCAGAAAGTGGTACATTACATTCAAAGAAGGTAAGTTTCTTGGTAATAGTTTAATACATTCCACCATTAAAATTCAATCAGAAAGGGTCATTTTAACCACAATGTCAAATTACTCATTTGCAATGGGTGATAGCTCAAATCATTCATCCAATATTCCTTTCCCAATATTAAATGCACATATCCTAGCATTGGGGGAGGGACAGTTGATTTCCTTACCTTCAGTTTCCACTGGAGCTTAGCTCATATCTTTCCTTTTTAGATATCAGGCCCATGGTCTATAAGGGTCTTCTCATATTAGGGCCACAGCCTCTGGGGTCTCATTTTTATTCTATTCTTTAGTATTTCCAGAACTGCCGAGCTTTCATTTATGGACTTGGGAATCCTTGGCTGTTTCCCCTCTCTATACTCCATCATGTACTGTTCTGTAAGGCTGTACACAGACCTTGTAACCATAGTGACCTTTCCATTGGTGTCTTGTTGAAAGTAGAACTTTCTCTCTGAGGCTTTGTCTTCTGGTCTAGAGCCTGGACACAAGTTGCAGATACTCTTGGATACATTTCTAATCTACCTGACCTTCACCAAGTGAAACTGAGAGGTGGGGGCAATCAGGTACGGGGTAACCTCTTTGGAATCTAGGCAGCATCAAAACCAATTCCCATGCTCTTAGACCCATGACCCCTCTCCCCCACCAATGTATTAAATAAGTTTCATAAGAAAAATAGGCTTTTCCTGTTTATGTAACTATTAAAAAATTAAAAATACTGAAAAGCATGGGAAAGTCAAACCAAAAACACCAGATACTCCAACTCAAACATAATCCCATAATCAGGTAAGTTCACCTCTCAGGACTTCTGGCCTCAGTGCTTTTTCCCTCCCTCTGCTTATTGCCTGAAGTCATGGAGTGCCCAGAGGCTGTGCATGGTATGTACCCTCCACCACAGGAACACTTCATCTCTGTTCTTTTTGGAGGCCATCACTTCATCCATGGCTCTTGAAAGTTCACACAAGTACAAAGTTTTACATAGAGTTTTAAACCATACATGCTTACATTTTTCTATTTTCCCTCTATCCCCTCTGATCTCCCTACTTTTCCTTTCCTCCCTGAACGTAATCAGTATTAACAGTTTGGTTGTGTATTCTTGCATACCTGTTTCCATGCTCATCTTACCATATATACATATACGACTGTGACCATTACTTCAACAAAAATAAAATTTTGTACACATACATCTCTGTAATAGAGCAATTACTTATTAAAACATCGTGAAAATACCTTGATGTCAACTTGTGTAGATATAACTCATTAAAAAAATTACTCTCATGCTGTTCCATAGTATGGATGCATCAGTTTATTCACCATTGCCTTATTAATGGGCATTCACTTTCTATCCAGTTGGTTTTCTTTGCCTCTACAAACAATATTTCAACAAACATCACTTATGCACTGATGTTGCTATTTCTATGGGGCAGACTCCCAAAAGTGAGACAATGGGTCAAAGTGTTTTCCTTTTTAAATTTTATTTAATAATTTCAAATGTATTGCTGCATTGCTGGTGGAAATATTAATTGATATAACCTTTTTGTAATGGTACATGGTTTCCCAAGTCCCACTAACAAAAGATTTAATTTTTGTCAACTCCATGAAGTGGAAGCGACATCTCATTGATTGCTCTAATTTGCATTTCCCTGAGTAATATTTAGGTTCATAATACTTTTGTAGATTAATGGCCTTTTAGAGTTACTCTTCTAGGAAAAACCATCCAGTCCAGATGGATTAAAGACTTTAAAGAATAAAATTATCAAAATCTTAGGAACACAGATGGCCGCATGAGAAGCAGATGGATGGCCCCAGGTGTCGGCGCAGAAAGCTGACGAGCTGGCGGTGCAGTAATGGTAGTTATGAGACAACTTCAACAAGAACTGGCTGATACCCTAAAAAAGCAATCTGTCAGAGGCTTCGCTGGAGGTTACATCAAGTTACCGAATTAATTTAGAAGATGAAACACAGGATTTAAAGAAGAAATTGAGGCAAATCAGAAGTCAAGCTTGAAATAGAAAATGACAACTTCAAAGTAATCAAAAAGCAAGTGGACAAAATTGAACAGCTTCAGAAAAAACTTTTAAGTACAAATTTGTCTCAGGATGAAAAGGAACAGTTAAGGAAATTGACTGAGTTAAAACAATCTCAAGAACACAGTTTGGATCAAGAAGTGAAGAAAAACAGTGAATTAGAAAAAGAGATTTCTGGACTTAAGAAACTTAAAAATGACAAGAAAGAAGTTAAATGAATATGAAGATGGAAAGCTTAGTTTCCATGGAGATTTAAAACCCAGTCAAATTGAAGTGGACATTCAGATTAATACACTAAAACATAAGATTGATGATCTTACAGCAAAATTGGAAACTTCTTCAAAATATCTATATCTAGATGCAAGAAATCAAGTTCTTCAACAGGAGCTATTATCTATTTAAGCAATGCAAAAGAAATGTGAAAAACTAGAGAAGAATAAAAAGAAGTTGGAATGGAAAGCACAAGCAGCATCTCAAGGAGTTAGAGCAGTTCAGAGAAAATAATAATGCTTCAATAAGAAGCCAGATGGAACTCAGAATTAAAGACCTGGAATTTGAGCTCTTCAAAACAAAAACTTCTCAGTATTCTAGTAAAGTAGAATTGGAGAAATACAAGCAACTCTACCTGGAAGAATTAAAAGTTAGAAATTCATTGGAAAATGAATTAAACATGACTAATGAGAGGCTAACAGAGATGAATGCCAAACTTCTTGAGGAGAACCAGCAGAGCAGAACTTTACTCAGCATTCCTACTATGAGGCCAGTGCTGGAAACACCTCGCATTGGAAATCTTATTCCAAGAGAAAACTTAGTGATTCCTACCACACACCGGTGGACTTAAGATAATGTGGAGACGTTCTTTGCCAAGATGCAGCAGGAATTGGAAGAGACTATAACTAGAGAACTAGAAGAAGCTGCTGCTGAATTTGAATCTGAGTCCTGTACAGTTCCTGAGTCCTAGTACACTAGGAGCTACTGATGGGTCAAATCCAACTCAATATCTACTATTGGAAACAACACAAGAATATGCAGATTTTGAGGAAAAATTATATGATCTGAAAGATAAATGTAAAAATGTATATACTGGTCTGTTAAACACTTTAATCCTTTCTCATTAAACATAGGACATGTGAAAATCTTAAAAACCAATCAGGAACAAATTTAGGTGTCTATGTACAACCTAAGGATTAAGAAGACCCTTTAACTAAAAGAGTACTTAAAGACTCTAAAAAGGAAAAGACATTTTACTATAAAAAATTAAAATATGTGGTGACACCTTTTACTACATAAAAAAGTATAAAGACAAATGCTTATGGAAAACATTTGCAACACACCATTTAATATTTCAAATATATAAATAGCACCTCCAGATTGATAAGACACACAAACCAAACAAGTAAAAAATACAGAGGCAATTCATTGGAGATAATTTGTTCAATGAATAAAGTATGAAATCTGGATGAAGGCTTTTATTTGTCCTGTATTTTTCTCTATTGGGAATTTTCCTATAACTTCTAAGGTTTAATATGACTAAATGTTTTCCCATATTCTTATCTTTATCGTGTCTCTTTAGTATGTATTTTCTGGTAAATTGCTCCTGAAAGTTTTTCCACATTCATAAAAATTAGTTTATTATTCTTGGGGAGCTGACATCTGGGTGAATGATTAATTGTTATCTATATTAACTGCATTTCTCTCTGATGTATTCTTTGATGTACAGTAAGGCTTGAGCTGCTCCTAAAGGCTTTTCCACATTCCTTACATGTATAGGGTTTTTCTCCAGTATGCATCCTCAGATGTACAGTAAAATCAGAGTTAGTTCTGAAGGCTTTTCCACATTCTTCACATTTATAGGGCCTCTCACCAGTATGAATTCTCTGATGTAGAGTTAGCTGTGATAGAGTAATACAACCCTTCCCACATTCCTTACACATATAGGGTTTTTCTCCAGTATGTGTTCTCCAGTGAACTGTAAGGTATGAACCCCTCCTGAAGGCTTTTCCACAGACATCACATTTATAGGGTTTCTCTCCACTATGGATTTTCTGATGTTCTGTGACATGTACCATCTGGCTGAATGCCTTCCCACAGTCATGACATTTAAATGGTTTCTCTCCAGTATGTGTTCTCTGATGGGTATTAAAGCCTGAGTTACTTGTGAAAACCTTCCCACAATCATTACATTTATAGGGTTTTTCCCCAGTATGCCTTCTTTGATGCACAGTAAGTTGTGATGTATTAGTGAAAGCTTTCTCACATTCATTACATTTATATGGTTTTTCTCCAGTATGGGTCCTTTGATGTACAATAAGATATGACTTAGTCCTGAAGGATTTCCCACAATCATAACATTTATAGGGTTTCACTCCAGTATGAATTTTCTGATGTTCCTTGAGATTTACCATTTTTGTAAATGCCCTCTCACAGTCAGTACATTTATATGGTTTCTCTCCAGTATGAATCCTTTGATGTACAGTTAAGTGTGATTTTATTCTGAAAGATTCCCCACATTCATTACATAAATAAGGTTTCTCTTCTGTATGAATTCGCTGATGTATAATTAGAGATGAAGAACGCATGAAGGCCTTTCCACATTCATTACATTTATAAGGTTTTTCTCCTGTATGCATTCTGTGGTGTACAGTAAGGCATGAATAATTAATGAATGCCTTCCCACATTCATTACACTTATAGGGCTTTTCTCCTGTATGAATTCTCTGATGTTCTGTGAAATTTGCAATGCGATTGAATGCTTTCCCACATTCATTACATTCATAGGGTTTTTCCCCAGTATGTGTTCTTATATGTACAATAAGGCTTGAATTACTTCTATAGGCTTTCCCACATTCATTACATCTAAAAGGTTTCTCTCCAGTATGAATTCTCTGATGAACATTAAAAATTGTGGTATTCTTGAAAGATTTCCCGCATTCATTGCATTTATATGGTTTCTCTTCAGTATGTGTCTTCTGATGTACGCTAAGATATGACTTATTCCTAAAGGCTTTCCCACAGTCATTACATTTGTAGGGTTTCTCTCCACTGTGAGTTTCCTGATGTCTTGCAAGTTTTGATTTATCACTGAAAGCTTTCTCACATTCATTACATTTATAAGGCCTCTCTCCAGTTTGAATTCTCTGGTGTTGATTAAGACGAGCACACTGGCTAAAAGATTTTCCACAGACATTGCATTGATAAGGTTTCTCCTTAGTATGAATTCTCTGATGTACCATAAGTGATGAAGAAGCAATGAAGGCCTTTCCACATTCATTACATTTATAGGGTTTTTCTCCAGTGTGAATTTTTTTATGTTGACTAAGATATGAAGGCTGGCTAAACATTTTCCCACATTCATTGCATTCATAAGGTTTTTCTTTTGTATGGGTTCTCTGATGTTGAATGAGTAATGACCTATAACGAAAAGCCTTTTCACATGTACTACATTTATAGGGTTTTTCTTTATTATTGTGTTTTTTCCCTAAAGTAAGTTCTGAAGTAGGCCTTATGGACTTGTTGGCTTCTGTATCATTGCAAATGTTCTTCCCTAGATGGATATTTGTAATCAAATTCTCAGTGAAAATTTCCTCATGTGTCTGGCATTTGCTGTGGGCCTCTTCTTCTGAGATAACTCCTGGTTCTGAAAAAGGAATAGATCCAAATCTAAAGCTTGTGGGAGTTTTTTTTTGTGTTACTATTCTTTGACTCAAATGACTTTCTTGACTATTTTGTGATCTCAATATCCTTTCATCCCAGTTCCATATTCTTGCCATTGTAGAGTCCCATAGACTATTCCCTGTGAACTTCTCTACTATGGTGTCCTGTGATAAATCTTCAGAAATATCCTCTGTTGGTATAACATTCTTGGTTGCAGGTTTGGTCTCCAACTCTGGGAGGAACAAAAAAAAGAAAAACCAAGTGACTCCTATTTCCAAAGTTGGGGAGATCTCACTAAACAGTGAAACTTGGGCTAAAAATGAATATATAGCTTTACCTTATTGCCAATTGGCCTTCATTTCTAGGAAGGAGGAGGTATGGTTATGGGAGGCTGGTTGAGCAAGAATCAAATAGTAAATTCAAGGAGTATTCCCCTTTAAAAAATTAATTCATGGTAACCTGCCTAGAATCTAGTCTCTCAAATATTATTCTCATTCCTTTTAGAGCCAACTTCTTCATAAGTTGTAACTATTTCCTTGCTTTCCATGTATTCCACAAATCAGGTATTTTGTCCCCAACTATATCGTTTATTCTCATTCTTTGTTCACCAGCTGTCTTTGGGTGAGGGCTTTCTCAAATTTCCCTGGTAGAGTACAGTACCTTACTAAAGAATTTGCACATAGTTTTTATTGAACTTTTATGGAAGAAGACACTTTGGTTTTTCAGAAAGTAGAATGAATAATAAATAAGAATTCATAACATTTATTGATACCTCAAATAGTGATGATTATTAGCAAGGATAGTTTTGCAACCTTTCAATGGGTCTTAAGAACATTCCTGAAAGTTTGACAAAAACTCCTTTAAAAAAATTACTGTGGGGTCATATATTATTTTGTATATGCAATTTAATATTTTACTTTTAAAGATACTTTTATATTTCCTTTACATTTCTATTTCCAGGCAATTACATCTAAATGTTTAAAAACAAATTGGATCAAAACCTTTTGTGGATAGAATGGCTTTACGAGTTTAAAACTCAAGGTAAATAGAATTTCAATGGACTCACAGGCCTAGATAAAGGGCTGAACTCAGCATGACGACTCTTTGGTCAACTAGAACCCAGCTGACTTAAATATCTAATTGAATAAGGTGACTGAGGATTGTTAAAGCCCCTATCCTAGCAGCCCACCAAAATCAAACATTAGGAGATTCAAGATGGTGGCATGAAAGGTGAGAAGAACTCCTCCCAAAACCACAAATGGTATGAAAATGTAGTTAATTGATACAACTAACCTTAAAACAGCCACAAGAAAGAAGGCTGAACCAGACTGCATAGAGACCTCATGAACAGAGCAGACCTCACAATACAGGATAATGTATGAAAGCCTTAATCCGGCAGGATCCCAGCCCTTCTCCCACCCCAGCTCACCAAGAAGAGGAAGAGAAATGGAACAGGGGAGGGGGTGGAGGCCTGGAGCTGCTGAACACCGAGCCCTGGAGGTCTGCTTTGGGAGCAGAAACCTACATTGTGTGGGGCTCTGGACGTTAGGGAGCTCAGACAGGTGGAGTGCTTGAGAGACAGATTCTGGCCATTTGTGGAGGAGGGGATCCACACCTGGCCGCTCTGGAAGAAGGGAAAGTTAGTGGTCTGAGAGGCTTCCTAGCAGCGAGAGGGCTACTGAAGGAGCAGGGTCTGCACGGAGCTTGCTGCATGGGGGAGGGGAGAGCTGGACAAGGTTGTCTGGGCATGCTCTGTCCACCAGCTTGGGAACTTTGAGGAGCTTCAGGTGCCCCATCCCCCTGGCTGCCAGCTCAACTCCGAGGCCCCCCACTGTGACATGCAGCCTGTTGTGCCTTCCTCCTAGCCTGCTGGCACTGGTTTGAAAAATTGCAGTCACTGTGCTGGCATCAGGCCAGTCAGAGGGAGGCCCCACCTACAAAAGCTAGAGATGCAAAGCACAGAGGCTTACACCTGTGAGTTTGGCCCACTGGCTCTGATGCCAGAGACAGGCACCGCAGATGGGAATCAAGAAACAGATCGTTCCTCCCCCAAGGCACCAGCTCTGCTCCCCTATGACTCCTAACCTCACTCTAGGGGCTGAGCAGCTCCAGAAACTGGAGCTTCTGGGCAACAGAGGGCACCACAGAGAAATATGAAATGCCAAAAGAACATGGTTCAGACCCAAATCTCACTAACCCCAGAAAAAGGGTAAAATGAAATTGAACTCACCAAACTGCCTGAGAGTTAAAAATAAAAATCATAAACATGCTTATGGAGGTACAGAAAATATTCAAGAACTCAGGAATAAATTTGAGTCAGATTCAATCATTAAGAAATTCCATATCTGAAATGAAACATACAATGGAGGGATTTAAAAGCAGATTAGATGTATTAGAAGAGATGGTAAATGGAATAGAAATTAGAAAAGAGGAATACAAAGAAGCTGAGGCACAGAGAGAAAAAAGAATCTGTAAGAAT